GGCGTGGTGCACAAGGACCTGAAGCCGGAGAATGTGTTTGTCCGGCCGGACCCGGCGGACCCGTCACGCCTGCAGCCGGTCATCGGGGACTTCGGCGTGGCCCTGGTGCTGAACCGGTTCTCGGTGATCCCGACGCTGGGGGACGTGGCGGCCGGCAGCCTGCCGTACGCCCCGCCGGAGACGCTGGCCCGGCTGCACGGGCTGCCCTTCGCCCTGGCCCCGCCGGACAGCAGCGTGGTGTCCCTGCTGAAGGTGGACATCTACTCGCTGGGGGTGCTGCTCTTCAGCCTGGTGGCCGCGGCTCGGCCCTGGTCCGGTGCGTGCTTTGCTTTGTCCCCCGTGTGTGAGCCCCTTCGCTGCCCATCTCGCCCCGACACGACTGACTGACCCGCTGCGCCCATGCGCCGCAGACGCCCCGCAAGCGGACATCCTGCGCGCGGTACTGGACGGCAAGCGGCCGGATGTGGCCCCGGGCACCGGGGCCCCGGTGTGGCTGACCGATGCGGCCAGCGCCGCGCCCTGGCTGGCGGCCTTCCAGCAGGCCTACCGGCAGGCGTGGGCGGCGGACCCGCGCGAGCGCCCGGGCGCCGCGGCCCTGGCCGCCACGCTGGCCGCCCTGGCTGCATCCTCCTGATTTCTCGGGGCGGGTAATGAAATCGGTGTTTGTGCATTTGGACCCTTCCCCAGCAAGGAGCAGCATGCTGGAGCAGCACCTGTGCTCGACAGGCGGGGGGGGGGGTGTCGGCCGCGCGAGGGGTCACCCCTGGGCCGGTCTTCTTGGGCGCATGTGTGCGCGTGTGCGTGAGCACCAGCAGGGGCGGGCGGGGAGGGGCTGGTCGCTCCCGAGGACGGCGGGGATCGGGGCCTCGGAGAGGAGCGACCCCCCGGGGGCGGGAGGGGCTGGCGCTCTGCTCGTGCGGTGCTGGCGGAAAGGAACCCCGGGCCTCGTTGGAGCGGATGGCTTCCGGCCTTGGTGGCGGGGGCGCGCCCGGGGGCACATGCGCGCGGGAATGGGACAAAAAAGGGAGAGCGGCAACCTGGCCGGCCCCGGGCTCAAAAAGCAACCTCTGGAGGCGGAGGGTATCGATCCCCCTGCCTGCCGCATGCTAAGCGGCCGCTCTACCATTTGAGCTACGCCCCCGGGAGGTGGCAGCATCCCGCGCAGGGCCGCTATTTGGCATCCTGCAAGCAGGGTGTCGCGCCCGGCGCGTCGTCGGATGCTCGGACCGGCGCCACAACAGGCCGCGCGCCCACCACCCCGGGACAGGGGGCACCCCGGCCTGCCTCCTGGCCGGGTGCGGGCTGGGCGCGCACACCGGCGATGCCCGGCACGAGCCGCGTCTGCCCCTCCCCCGGTGGCGAGAGCCAGCCTCCACTCGGCGCTCGCGAGGCCCCCCCCCCCCCCACCCGGGGCCGGCGCGCGGCACCGGGCCCGATGTGTGGTCCGCTCTCTGTGCGAGGGCCAGGTCCGGCTGGTGCTCTCCTCCCCCGCTTCGGTGTGCCCGCCCCCGGCGGCGGATGCACACCGGGGCCCTCCCGCCCCCGGGCAAGGCTTTGCAAGTGCGGCGGTGAGAACCGAGGGAGCGCTCCGGGATCACATGCGGGGCGCCTGAGCATGCATGCCCCCGCCCCGAGCCCGGGGCGGGACGTGCACACCCGCGGCCAAAAGAAGTGCAAAATGCTCCCGATCCGGGAATTGAACCCGGGCCTCCCGCGTGACAGGCGGGGATTCTCACCACTATACTAATCGGGACCGATGATGGTGGGTCCAGGGCGTCGGGCGATCAAATCCTCTCGCTGTTGGGGCCTCGCCGCATGCCCGCCTCAGAAGGCGGGGTACATTTGTGGGGGGGCTGGGTGGAGAGCCCGTCCACCCCCGCTCGGGGATTGGCACATACGCAACTATGCGAGTCTTTTAAATTGGGGCCTTTTATCCGGACGCGGGTGCTATCACCAAAAGGTGCCCATTTCGAGGACGGACTTAAAGGGCGCGGACAAGCAGGCGGGGGGCATTGTTGGCGGACTCGTGGCCCTGCGCGGCCGCCGGGGGGACACTGGCGCGCCCCCTCCCCCCACCGGGAAAGGCGTCTCCCCGGGCAGCGGCCGGATGCCGGGGGCCTCGGCGTCCGCGGGCATCGCCCCGTCCGCTGAAAAAGTCGCGCCACGATCCTGCGGCCCCGTCCCCCCCTCCTCTCCCCGCCACACGCGCACGGCCACACAGGAGACACGCAGAGGGGGGGGGGGAGGGAGCCGGCGTCGTCCCTGGCGCCCGGCCGCGCAAAAAGGAAAGCTGACCATGATGCGGCTCGAACACACAACCTCCTGATCCGTAGTCAGGTGCTCTATCCAATTGAGCTACACGGCCATGGGAGAAGGCGGCCCGGGAGACCAGATAAAGCACGGGCCTTTTTCCGGCCCCGCGACTTGGCCTGCGACGGCTTGCCGCCGTCCGGGCGCGCTCCTCTGCGGGCGGGCTTTCCCGCGTGGCTGGTCGGCTGCCTTGGCCTGGGCGTGCCGGCGCTGGCAGCTCCTTCCACCCTTCCCCGCATCCACCCGGAGTGACCTTGCCTTTGCCCGCTCCGGCCCTGCCCGGCAGGCTGTCCTTGTGCGTCGCATGCCCCCGGGGATTTGGCGTGGCCGGTGGACCGCGGCGCTCGTGGTCGGGCCGACATGCCGAGGCAATGGCCTCGGCCACCGCCGGACAGCCTGCACCCGGCTGGCCATCTCGCGCCACTCTTCCGGACACTCCCCCTCTTTCGTGCCACTCGCCCCTGCCGTGGTCTCTTGCCACCCCGGACAGGCCGTCTGGCGGTGGCATTGCCTTTGGGGCCGTCATGCGGGTCCGGTGCCCACCGCATGCACATCCGCGCCCTGTGCCAGGGCAGCGGCACGCGCCCGCCCTTGCCCCGCGTCCGCCCGACGGAGGGCGGCCCGTGCGCCTGCTCGCCCAAATAGGGCCCCGATTCCCCTCCCCTCCCAGGCCCCATAGCTCAGTTGGTTAGAGCGTCGTGCTAATAACGCGAAGGTCGTCAGTTCGATCCTGGCTGGGGCCATATGGCAATCCCTTTTGCCGGCGAAGCGATCAGCGGCCGAGGAAGGGGGAGAGACAAAAGCCAGGGGGGGGGGGACACGGAGCGAGGCGGCACACTTTTTCCGGCGGGCGGGAGACAAGTGAATTGTGTTGCGCGTGTGGCTACTCGGGCGGGCAGAAGGCACACGCGGCGGCCAGCTTCTGCCGGAGAATCGCCATGACCGGGCGGAAGTGCGTTTGCTCCTCGCCGGTCTGCTGGAGCAGCTCCACCAGCTGGGAGGACACCCCGGCCGGGGCATCCTCCTGGGCCAGGGCATCGTGCACATGCCGGACGTCGGGACGCTTGCCGGCCAGCACCGACCGGGCCACGTCTTCCACCGACATGCCGGGGAACTCTGGCAGACGGGCACATTCGCCAGGGAACGAGGGGGGGTCAGGGGATGCCACTGGCCGAAGAGGAAGAGAGAGAGAGAGAGAGAGAGGG